TGAACCATCTCCTTAGTGATAAGGATCTGATCCAGAATTTCCCTCCTTGGCACATAAGCAGCTTGCTCCTCTGAAATAATGAGAGGAAGTAAAGTACTGAGCCTGCTAGCAATGCATTTTGTAGCAATCTTAGAGGCTACAGTGGACAAGCATATAGGCCTAAAATCATTAAGCTTCCTAGCATTATCCACCTTAGGAAGAAGACAAATGTTTGAGGAGGCTGCTGCTTGTGGTAGAGGAAGGCCAAGAAAGACCTCTTGGCAGGCAGATACCACATCAGATTTAATGAAATCCCAGCAACTTCTGAAAAAAGTAATGTTGAAACCATCTGGGCCAGCTGCTGAATTAGGATCCATCTGTCAAATGATCTGTTTGATCTCTTCTTCAGTAGGAAGGCTCATAAGAAAATCATTATGCCCCTGGTCAATCAAAGAAGGAATGGCATCAAGAAACTGCCCATAGAGTTCTAGAGAACCAGAAGGTTCTGCTTGATTCAAGAGATTGGTGTAATGTTGAACAGCAAGAGCCTCTAATTCATCAGGTTTATCAATGATTTTTCCTTGATCATTAATAAGCAGATTAATCTGTTGCTGTCTTCTTCTATTCTTAACCAGATTGTGAAAAAATTTGGTATTAGCATCACCATCTTGAAGCCATTTAAGATTACACTTCTGTTTCCAAAAAGCATATTCCCTATTGGTCATCTCAACAAGCTGAGCCATCTTCTGGTTATAAAGAGTTTTATTTTCAGAAGAGGGATTCTCTTCAAAAAGAATCTCAGCTTTGGATGCCTCCTCCTCTGCCTCTTTGACCATCTCAAAAATATTGCCAAATTGATCCTTGTTCCAAGCTGAGAGTTTGGCTTTGAGATGATGAAGTTTTTTGAACAGACAATGCATTCCTCCAAAGACAGGTACCTCCTCCCAACTGTCTTTGCAAAACTGTAAAAAATCACTCCTTAAAAGCCACATGTTCTGAAATTTAAAAGACTTAGAGCTAACCGTATCACCAAGCTTGGAGCTGAAGAGAATAGGACAATGATCACTACCCCCTTTAGCAAGGTGATGCATAGACAAGATGTCCCAATGATCTGCCCAGCCAGTATTAAAGAAAACTCTATCAAGACGCCTCCAAATATTACCAGTGCTACGTACCCCATGCCATGTAAAAGCTGAACCACTGAAATTGCATTCAAGAAGATTGCAGTTTGTGATGCAACTGTTGAAGTCATCAATGGCTTCAAGATCAGGTAACTTAGCCCCTTTATGATGAAGAAGGTCTGAAATGGAATTGAAGTCCCCACCAAGGCACCATGGAAGATGTGAATTAGTATTAAATGATTCAATAAGAGCCCAAAGTAATTTCCTTTCAGCAGTTGTATGACTCCCATAAATGCCACTAATGGTGAAGGTGAAATTGTTAAGAGTATCTCTCACTGTGAAATGAGCAATCTGACCAAAGTCTTTCACATCAATAACATCAAATTTGGCTTGGTCCCAAAGGAACCAAATTTTATTGTTTGCAACAGAATAAAAACCATTAAAACCAAGCTTAAAAGCCAGGTTCTTACCCTTCTTAGCGATAACAAAAGGCTCAATAAGAATACAAAAATCAATAGAATGGTGCTTAATTAAATAAGAGAGTCTCTTGCACCTCTTAGAGATTCCCCCTCACATTCCAGAAGAGAGTGCAGATCATTTCAGGGCTTGGAAAACCCCATCAACAGACCTTTTATAGTCTGAACGTGTCCTAATCCTCTTTGGTGAAGGAGGAGCAGAAGAGGAAGTTTTTTTAACAGGGATGTCCACTTGGAGATCACAAATAGGTAAATCACAGATCAGTTGCTCCATAGATGGAACTGAAGGAGAATCTGAAACCAAAACTTCATTGGCCAAGCCAAGTGAGATATTTTCAAAAGGGGTAGGCTTAACCGTTGGACTAGGCTCACAGGAAGAATAAGCAAGGCCATTATTGTCAAGAAAGAGCACTTCCTGTGACCCAATGAAATGAATCTGGGGCCTACGCTTAGCACCTGCTTTAGAAGTTTCCTCCTGACATGGCATGCATGGAGATGGAACCTGCGACGTAGTGGACTTTTGGACCCACGTAACCTTCGGTTTTGATGAATTTTTATTACCCTTACGTTGAACAGTAGTCCAAGCATCCAACATCTCCTTGCCCTTATCCTTCATGGGAGGAACGGACTCCGCTACCGGCAACTTTTCCGGCAGCTTTTCCGGTAAACATGAAAGGGAAGAATGACCCAACCTATGACAAGAAGAGCAAAAAGATGGAGGATCTTCATAAATAACCTGAAAGAAAAGGTCTTCCTCAACATGCTTAACATGTATACGCTGATGGAGTGTCTGGGAAACGTCCACTTCAATGCAAACCCTAGCCGCTTTAGGTCTAGCAAAGTTAAGGGTGGCATTATCAACTTTCAAGGGTTTACCCAACGCAGAGGTAATACAGAAAAGTGCCTTCTGGTCGTGTAGATGAATAGGAAGGTTAGGAATAGTAATCCAGACCGGAACAATCGGGGAGTCCTCCTCCGGACGTAAATTTGGAGACCATTTAGTCACTGTCATGATGTCCCTTCCAAGCGTCCAAGTTTTCCGGAGGAAGAAACGTTGATAATCTTCATCTTGCTCAAAGTTAATAAGAACAGCGTTAGAGTTGAGTTCTCCAACCGTAAAGCCCCCAACGAGCCCTAGCCGGGTAAGAAAGTTCCTCACGACTGAAAGTGGAGGGCGATGTCTGAATCTGCCGATGAGGGCAAATCTGAACCGACGGGAGAAAAACTCGTTTTCTCCGGTGGCCGGTCCTTGATGACGGCACCATCCGTCTTGAAGAGATCGGAGAACAGTTTGGAACGAGTACCGGAAGCCTTGGCCGGAGACGCCGGAGAAGTCTCCGTGGATTTCGAGAGAGACAACATTCTATATGATATATATATATATATATATATATATATATATATATATATATATATCTATGTATGTGTGTGTGTGTGTATATATATATATATCGGTAAGTCTAAAATGACACTAGTGCTATTGGAGTCATTTGCTTACACCAGTTCGTTTGGGGTACCTACGAAGCTCCGTTTGTAAAAACGAAGGTTCCTACCCCCCTTAACCCTCCGCCTAAACCCCCCACCACAGCCCCACCCTTGCCCCCCCCACCCCAACCCCCCTAGGGTGGGGTGGGGGGGACAAGGGTGGGGCTGGGGTGGGGGGTTTAGGGGGAGGGTTAGGGGGGTAAGAACTGTCGTTTTTACAAACGGAGCACCGTAGGTACCCCAAACGAACTGATGTAAGCAATTGTTGTATAAGTAACTTGTGTCATTTTAGACGCTCCATTTTATATATATATATATATATATATATATATATATATATATATATATATATATATATGTATATATATATATATATATTCATATATAAAATGTCTAGAGAGAGAGAGATTCCACCGGCAGTCTCTGGCCGGAAAAAACTTTTCTCCGAAGTACTCAACTCTTTCAAAGATGAAGATAAATTACAAGGTGTTTCTCAAGGTTTTTACAAAGGGGTGCCTTCTGTATCATTCTCTTTTGAAGATATTCACAAATTGTCTAAGAGATTCAAGAATGCAAGATCCGAACAATAGTACTTGCAAGATCAACTTGTAAGAGAGTCTTAACCATGCTATTGCTTCTGGTTTTCTAGATTCTTATAAGGCAGGGAGGAGTCAGGTGGTTTCTCATCTTGCTTTTGCAGATGATCTCATAGTATTCCTCAAGGGTGACCTCGGGAATATTTTGAGATTTAAACACATCCTCCTTAACTACCTTAGAGCTTCTGGGCAGGAAATCAATAACAAGAAAAGCAAGGTCTTCTGCAAGAAAAGCTGTCACTGGACTTATAAGAACAAATTGGAGAAAGCTCTTGGTTTTATGGTTGGAAGCCCCCCTTTTAAATATTTAGGCTCTACTATTACCTCTGGCAAGCTTAAGAGAATCCACTGTGAACACATCCTAAATCACTTTGATGCCTATCTTAACAGTTGGTACAGTAAAGAGCTCAACCCTATGAGCAGATTAATTCTCATCAAACATGTGCTCAGTGATATTCCTTTACATATCCTAGCTGTGCAAGATCTCCCCAAATCTATCATTAATATTATCCAGGGCAAACTAGCCAATTTCTTTTGGGGTGCTAAATTGGAAAGAGTAAACATCACTGGGCCAAATGGACTGCTCTCTGCAAGCCTACAGGGGAAGGAGGACTAGGGCTGAGAAGCTTGGAGGACTTACAGAAGGCTTGTGCTTTGAAGTTATGGTGGAAGGTGATTAATGCCAATTCTTTATGGTCTAATTTTGTGAAGAATAAATACTACAGGGATGGATTATTTGAGACCAAATTGTATGACTCTGCCTCATGGAAAAGAATCTGTAGAATTTCAACAATTGGCCTGCAAAACACATACATGACCAGTGCCACTCCCAAGTGGATTAATGGGAAATTTACTTTCAAAGAGGCATATTGGGCTGTAAGGGATAGAGATATCAGTACTCGAATGAACACTCTTATCTGGAACAAATTCCAAATCCCCAAGATCAAGTTGTTTACCTGGAAAGCTATTCATCATTTCCTTCCCTTTCCTAACATTCTAAGGAAACTATCTTATAATCTGCCTAGCAAATGCCCGTTCTGCGAAAAAGAGGAAGTGACTGATCAACACATCCTACTTACTTGTATCCTTTCTCAACAAATTTGGAAGGCTTTTGCAGATTATGTAGGGGAGCCTAACTGGTCTCAGGGCACAGACCTAAGCAACTATATGCTTCAATGGCGGGAGAATTACAACAAATACACTATTAGAGGTCTACTCACGCTCATCTTACCTGGATGCATCATATGGAATCTCTGGAAGGCTTATAACTAAAGCATTTATGAAGAACACAACATCAAAAATATGGGAATTATCATAGAGATTCAAAAATTAGTGCAGCACTGGTACTGGTCAAATAAAAAGGTGCAGAAGATAGCCACAGACGAGGAGATTCAAGCCCTAAATCTCAAACCTTACCTCTCTAGATGATCACGCCGGCTTCCCAATGAAGAAGCAGACTGATTAGCGTTGCCTGATGTATTTTTTCCTTTGATTGTAATTGGCTTTTTCCTTCTTGGGCCTTTCCTAACACTGTTGTCGGGTTGGCCCAAAAGCTTCTTGTACATTCCTTGCTTTAATATATATATATATATATATATATATATATATATATATATATATATATATATATATATATATATATCCCACACTTCCACTGCTCGTTGATATTAGATGCCAACTCAATCAAAATGGTGAGAAGACACCAGAACAATAGTGGAATTTTTAATCATATTTCATCCTCTTCAGTTGCTCCTACGTGTAACTCAAATTTTAATTCTTTTTTTTTATTTTGGTATGATGCAAGAATTTCAATTTTTTTTATAACGTATATATATATTTGGATATGTTGAAAGAATCTTCAATTTTTTTCATTTAGTGCAACTTTTTTGGTATGCTGCAAAAAGATGATTTTTTGGGTATATTGCAATTCTCTTTTGGTATGTTGCAAATAGAACTGCAAACTTTTATGATTTTGTTCCTTGTTTTGAATAATGCTCGGATCACATGATCTCTAAATAGAAAAATTTTTAATTTTTAAATACGTCTCTTAACCCGTTGGGTCAATCCGAACCTGATAACTCTGGGTCATAAACAAGCACTCTTAGACCTGAACTCGAAGTGACCCGAACCCGAAATAACCTGAACCCGATTATACCGAACCCTAACCCGACCTGACCGACCGTTTTGCCAGGTCTAGGAGGAATAATTATGATAATGGTAATTTTGATTATTCACAAAATTTTCAAGATGACTTTGGTAATGATCAAGGTTTTGAAAACAGTTGGTTTAACAATTCTCCTATGAATAATGATTAACAGTTGGTTTAACAGTTGATTTCTTTGATTAACCATGGGAGGAATGTGAATAATTTTGGTCATGTACCAAATTTTCAAAATAATTATTCTAATTTTTATAATCAAAAATAATTATTCTAGATTTTTCAAAGAAAATAATTATGAACAGGAGGATAGTTACAATAACTTTGATTATCAAAGAAATTATTCCTCTCCTTATTCTTCACTTTGCCCTATTAATAATTTTGAAGCGATTAGTAATGAATTAAAATCGATAAAAAATGACATGGATCGCATTATAAGAAATTTAATTGGGCAAATAGAATTAAAGAGATATACTAACCTTGATTTTGATAAATTCCTTAAAAAGAAGGGTTTAGTAAATGAAGAAGGTGATCTTTGTTATACTTTTCCTTATTCTTCTCTAAACCCTGATTCTAATCTTGAGATTTTCAATAATGAAATAGATGATATTCTCAAGGAAATTGGAAATCTCTATGAATTATTAGAATTCAACCCTAATGAATCTAATAAAATTCATCAAAATGAATGGTTAGGAAATGAATCCGAGGAAAAGAAAATTGAGGTGGATAAAATTGTTGAAACAAACATAGCGCAAGAAGGAACACCTTCTTTAGGCCAACCACCTCAAGATGAGGAATTTGATGAAAAAGAATATTATCTAGAACAACAAAATCTTTGGGCTAATTTTGAAGATTAATATCAAGAAACATTGAAAAACTTGCTCGATAAAGGTATTCTTGTTTGAGTAAATATTGAAAATCACAATAATGGGTTGGAGGGAGTAATGCTTGAGGAAAACTTTTGGTGGTCCCAAAGTGGTGAAATACAAAGTCTAGAGGGGGGGTGAATAGACTTTGTTACAGGTTTAAAATCTTTTTCGTTTCTTTTGAAAACGAGAAAATGAGTGTTAATCTAGAGTCCTTGTGAACTTTAGATTGTGTGCGGAATTTGGTGGGTGGAGTGAGCAGTAATATGGATAGGTTAGTTTTCACAGTTAATATAATTGCAAGTAAGAATAAAGATAAGAGAGAGAGACACGCAAACTTTAACGAGGTTCGAAGGTGGGGTAATCCTTCTACGTCCTCAAAATCCACTATGTAGTTGGTTGTTGAATAATGAACCAACAGTTACACTTGTGTGAATTTCTGCACGGTATATCTTCACAAGACCAATGTTGCTACTGCACTCGTGCTGGCTTTGTTGTTCCTTCGAAGGTCAAGCTTCTTCAACAACTGCAAGATCCGAACAATAGGACTTGCAAGATCAACTTGTAAGAGAGTTGACCTGTAACACCCCAATCCATATAACCCGGAATTACACGAATTAAGGTGAAACGAGAGTTAA